GGCGGCGGAGGCGGCGGCGGGGGAGGGGGCGCCCTGCACCCGCACCACGCCGCGGGCGGCCTGCACTTCGACGACCGCTTCTCCGACGAGCAGCTGGTGACCATGTCGGTGCGCGAGCTGAACCGGCAGCTGCGCGGGGTCAGCAAGGAGGAGGTGATCCGGCTGAAGCAGAAGAGGCGGACCCTGAAAAACCGCGGCTATGCCCAGTCCTGCCGCTTCAAGAGGGTGCAGCAGAGACACGTCCTGGAGTCCGAGAAGAACCAGCTGCTGCAGCAGGTCGACCATCTCAAGCAGGAGATCTCCAGGCTGGTGCGCGAGAGGGACGCGTACAAGGAGAAATACGAGAAGTTGGTGAGCAGCGGCTTCCGAGAAAACGGCTCGAGCAGCGACAACCCGTCGTCTCCAGAGTTTTTCATGTGAGTCTGACGCTCGATCCCAGCTAGCCACCTTGATAAGTGCTCCGCGGGTCGGGCTCGGGTGTGGGCTTGCTGGCTGCAGAGCCGCGCTGGCCACCACCTGGCCCCCTCCCCTGCCGAGCTCGCCCCCTTGGCCCTGCACACACACACACACACACACACACACACACACACACACACGCATACTCACGCACACGCACACGCCCTGCTCCGAGTTGGTGGCGGCGGCTGTTTTAAGTTGGGGAGGGAATGGATGTCTGGCTCGTGGATTGTCAATCTGAAATTCCCCGTAACTTGCTAGCTGGGATTTTTTTTACACCCCCCTCACTTGCACAATGTTCAAAGATCTCAGCAGAGTTCTCCATGTGAAATATTGCTCACCTTTGAAGCCCGCATCATCTGCATATTTTTCCCCTTCTTCAATTCATGAGCTCGTGTTCATTTTCTGTGTGTTTCATTTTGTTTGGATTTTTTTCCCCTTAATTTTACTTTTGTTGTTGTTGTTGTTGTTGTTGTTTTTTTTTTTTGGAGCTTGCTGTGTTGTTACCCAACCTCCACCTCATTCCCTCTGCACCCATCTCCTTTAAGATTTAAAAAAAAAAAAAAGGCAAAGGTTTTTTTTTTTCTCCTTCTGAGTTCTTCATGTGAGATTGAGCTTACAAAAGAAAAAAAATGTGAAATGTTATAGACTTTGCAGCAGCAGCAGCGTGCTGAGTTCCATCGGGGGTTTTAGCATTGTTATGCTAAAATAGAGAAAAAAAAGTCCTCATGAACCTGCCACAATCAAGCCTGCATCAACCTTCTGGGTGTGACTTGTGAGTTTTGGCCTTTTGATGCCAAATCTGAGAGTTTAGTCTGCCATTTAAAAAACACTCATTCTCATCTCATGCATTATTATGCTTGCTACTTTGTCTTAGCAACAATGAACTATAACTGTTTCAAAGACTTTATGGAAAAGAGACATTATATTAATAAAAAAACCTGCATGCTGGACATGTATGGTATAATTATTTTTTTTCTTTTCTTTTTCCTTTTGGCTTGGAAATGGACATTCGAAGACTTAGAGCATGGCATTCATTCTTTTGTTTTATTGTCTCATGACTTTTCTGAGTTCAAAACAAAACAAAACAGCGCAACCTTAGAGCCTTTTTCTCTTGAAAGTTTCCATCAGTTCCAAAACTGCTCTGACTTACTCAAAACTTCAGCCTCCTGTTGTAAATGCACTGAAGGCATTCCTTGTCAAAGATACCAAAATGGGTTTAACGTGGCAAACATTAAAGAACTCTTACTGATGCTTTCTTTTTAATAAGAATGACGCCCCAGTTTGGGGACTTAAATTGTGCTGTTGCCGAAAGCAGTCTAAACTTTATTTTTTGAAGAAAAGAAATCTGCCCCGTTATTTTTTGTGTTTTTTTAAAATTTTTATTATTTTCTTTTGGCTTCTGGTCATTGTCAAATATGGAATGCTATGGGTTTCTAGTATATAATTTAATTCTAGTTTTTATAATCTGTTAGCCCAGTTAAAATGTATGCTACAGATAAAGGAATGTTATAGATAAATTTGAAAGAGTTAGGTCTGTGTAGCTGTAGATTTTTTAAAAGATTGATGCACTAAATTGTTTACTGTTGTGATGTTAAGGGGGGTAGAGTTTGCAAGGGGGTTGTTTAAAAAAGTAGCTTATTCAGCATGTGCTTGCAACTTAAATATAAGTTGGGTATGTGTAGTTTTTGCTATACCACTGACTGTATTGAAAAACCAAAGTATTAAAAGGGGAAACACCCCTGTTTATATCTGTAGGGGTATTTTACATTCAAAATGTATGTTTTTTTTTTCAAAATTAAAGTATTTGGAACTGAATTGCACTAAGATATAACCTGCAAGCATATAATACAAAAAAATTGCAAAACTGTTTAGAACGCTAATAAAATTTATGCAGTTATAAAAATGGCATTACTGCACAGTTTTAAGATGATGCAGATTTTTTTACAGTTGTATTGTGGTGCAGAACTGGATTTTCTGTAACTTAAAAAAAAAAATCCACAGTTTTAAAGGCAATAATCAGTAAATGTTACTTTCAGGGACTGACATCCTGTCTTTAAAAAAAAATGCAAAGTAAATCTTACCAC